GGTCAGGCTAGGTTCTCGGCAAGCCCCTGAGGGAGGCTGGCGGTGGTTTTGGTGCCATTTAGGTCACAGTTGGCCTGTGCCCACATTCTGGGAATGTTTGTGCTCGTTGGTAGGATTTGGTGTCCTGTGGAAAGAGCTGCCCAGCAAGTTGGGACGTCAGGATGCTCTCCAGATGTGCCTGCCTCTGCCCATTCATCCATCCATTCATTCATTCTCCAGATGGAGAGGTTTCTGTGAGCAAGGCACCGCTCTAAGCCTCAGAGAGACTAACTTTGTCCTTAACCTGGAAGAACAGCAGATACCAGAAGAAGTAGTTACCCCTGCCCCTGTCCCCATATCTCCTGTAATAATTACCCAGTCATCCTCCCACCTAAGTAACCTCCTGCTTGCTGAAATCTGACTCCAGTGGCCAACAGATTCTAGGCCTTCCTAGGTGGAGGCAGCCCAGTATCTGAGACCTGCTCCAGCCTCCCATGCACATGGTCATCAAGCAGCCTACACACCACAGGCTTAAATGATCAACTCAGGAGAACGTCCGACAGTAACTAGTGAGCCATTCTTATCCTCTCAGGATGAGAAAACCAAGGCTAGGAGAGGTGATGCCACCTGCCTTTCTAAGAATCGGTAGAACCAGGAGTCTGTCTTGACATCAAAGCCTTGGGCAAGCCGCCATCTCTCCAGACCTCAGGTTCCCTGTTGAAAAACCAGGGCAGCAAAGCCTTCCCAGCAGGGTGGTGTGAGAAATTCAGTGATGTCATGCTTTGAAAAGTGTGTGGTCCTACATGCAAAGGGTTGGAAGTGTACCAGCTACAAAAATAATGGTGCTTGTGTTCAAGGGTATAGTTGTGATTTTTCTTTTAACTTGAAGATGCAGAACTTCCCAAGGATGTCTGAAAAGGAAAAAGCATTCCTCTTCAGTGATGGCCATTTTGAAAATAGAGTTTTCCATCAGAGGCTGTTGCTGGGAAATGTGAATAGGATGTATCCTTCCTGTGGTGTGGCTGCAAGAACAATCAGATGATTAGTTCGCGTGGCATTTTATTGTTTACAAAGCACTTGCAAATCCATGGCCCACCGAGTGGTCTCATAGTAAAGACTATAGCTTTGGCATCTGACAGACCCGTGATAAGTTCCTAGTTCCAGCACTTCCTAGCTGTGTGAGTGGGCAAAGCACCTAACCTCTCCGAGCCTCACTTTCTTCATATGTAAAATGGGATAATTCTGTTCACTGAGTAGCTCAGAGAATTGAGTGTGGTGATGCATATCGTGTACTGCAAATAGCCTGGCGCAAGGTATGCTCCCAAATTCCCAGCCAGTATTATTTATGTTGTTGGTACATTTGTCCTCATGATCACGCTGCTGAGGTCATGGTATTATACCCACCGTTCCTGAGATGAGAAACGTGTGACTCAGAGGCGGTCTTTATTTCTCCTGGGGTGGCCTGGCTAGTGGGTGACAAGCCAGCCCGTCTCCAGCTCCGGCCCTGGGTCCCGCAGCTGCTGAATATTCAGTGGGCCAGTGCCGCTCCATATTCAAAGGCCTTTGTTCTGGTTCATAACAGCCCTTTGTTGCTGGCCAGAGGGAGGAGCGGTGGGCTTCGAGCCTCTAGCCTTCAGCCTCCACCCCAACCCCGGACCCCCGTGTTTGCTTAGGGAGCCATGTTACTAATGGAAGTGTGTCATGCCCTGGAGGGGGTGGGGCGGGCTGGGGCCGGGAATAAAGGTTGAGCCGGGTTTGTCGGCTTGCGCTTGGTGACTGGCAGGGCTCCAGACGCGTGTCCGTGTCATCAGCAGTGGGACAGCTGTTCTGCGATGTGAACTTGCCCATCGGAGAGGCAAGGATTACTGTCCTGCACCATCAGACTCCAGCTCGGATCAAGGCCTTGGCCGGTCCCCTCCCCCCAGCGCTCCCTTGCTGTTAGCTATAAGTACATTTACAGAGCCCACTGCGTGCAGGGCTGTGCTCAGTGTTTCCGCCTGCATGATCACCTTTGATTCTCACAAGCTGGCACTCCTATGATGGATCTCGTCCTTAGCCCTGAAGCCTACAGAGTGATCCTTTGAAACGTGCTCCGATCACGACATGCTTTGGCCCAGAGCCCCGGGTGGCTGCCATGGAAGGGTCATAGCACAGCCCACAGAGTCTGACCTGGTTTGTCCTGGCCACCTCTCTGATCCCTGCTTTCCATTCTTCCTGTCCCAGCTCCCTGTTGTTGCTTGATCGATTGCTCCAAATGTGATGGCTTAAGCCATTTTATTGTTTCTGCTGATCCTGCGCATCAGGAAATGAGCAGGCTACAGAGGAGATGGTTTGCTCAGCTCTGTGTCCTATCTGCTGGGTCTGAGCATCCAGTGGCCTTTTCGTGCCCATGGTGGGGCCTGGCGAGGACGACCAGGGTGGCTGGGGACCGGCTGCAATGGCCTGCTGGGGTCATAAGCCGGGACCTTGATCCTTACTGTCAGCCAGTTCCTTGGTTGTCCTCCTTGGAGCCTTGGGGCCTCTTTCTCTCCATGTGGTTGTGTCAGCAGCATCGCTGGACTTCTAACACAGCAGCCCCAGGCTCCCAACAGCACAGAGTAGAAGCTTCCTGGCCCTTTTAAGGCTTGGATCTGGAACTGGCAGAGTATCAGTTCTCTCGCGACCTTTGTTTAAAAACAAGTCATGGGTCCAGCCCGGATTCAAGGGGAGGAGACCACAGAGGGCTGGTGTGGCTCTTTGGGGGCCACCAACAAAAGAGCCTTCGAGGCTCCCATTCATTCACTCTTCCCCACTCACCTAGGCCTCCATGCTCTTCTTCAAGCATGCTGTGCATGCCCCTGCCTCAGGGCCTTTGCACTTGCTGTTTCCATCTCCCAGGATGCCCTTCCCCAAATATCCACAGGGCTCACACACCCCCTCTATGTAGCCTCAGTGCCATGTGAGTAGGGTATTTACTTTGTTCACTGTAGTATCCCTAGCTCCAGATCTGACACATGATAGGTATATTTGGTGAATGAATGAGTTTTTGAGATGAGAAAACTGAAGGTCAGAGAAGTTAAGTAATTTCCCCAAAGACACACAGCTAGTAATCGACAGACCCCAGATTCAAACCCAAGCAAGCTTTGCTCCCTGGAGGGGTAATTGCTTAGGTTATCACAGCTGCCTCCTACCTCCTCCTTCCATGTCCTGTCTCCACTCAGGATGGTCTTCCCAAACTAAAATCATATCAGGTATAAAATACATCCTGAAAGTGGCATTCGTTCCTCACCTTCAACAGAAAGCTCTCCCTCCTCGGACCTCTGCACAAGACACAGCAAAACTTGGCCTCCAGCTGTGGTCTGATGTAGCAGAGTGAATATTCTTTATTTTTATTTTTATTTTTATTGAAGTATAGTTAATAGAGATTCTTGAGTAGGCAGACCTGGCTCTGTTTCCAATGCCCCCACCCCCAGGCTCTCTAAGCACGGGCAAGTTACGAATGTCATCCACTCATCCATCTATCCAATAAGTATTTATTGAACTACTCTGAGCCAGGGATGCTGCTGTGTTCTGGGTTGCAATGGTGAGGAAATCTTCACAGTCCCTGCCCTCCGAGAACTTACAGTCCACTGGGTAAGACAGACATACTCACATGGTCACGCAAAGAAATATAAGGTTATAGATTGTGATAAGTACTGTGAAGGACTTACTGTGTGGGGGAAAATGAGTAACAAGACACCTACAGGGTTTCCCTGGTGGCTCAGTGGTTGAGAGTCTGCCTGCCAATGCAGGGGACACGGGTTCGTGCCCTGGTCCGGGAAGATCCCACATGCCGTGGATCGGCTGGGCCTGTGAGCCATGGCTGCTGGGCCTGCACGTCCGGAGCCTGTGCTCTGCAGCGGGAGAGGCCACAACAGTGAGAGACCCGCGTACCGCAAAAAAAAAAAAAAAAAAAGACACCTACAATAGTGCAGTGAGGCAGGGTTGGTTTCCTTGAGGAAGTGGCATTCAAGTAGGAGCTAAGAAGTTCACTCCAGGCAGAGGGAACAGCAATGCAAAGGCTCTGAGGAGGAGGGAACACAGGCCCATTTTAGTATACGAAGGATCCTAAGAAATGTAGGTTGGAGGTCAGAGAGCCTGAGGAGCTGGAGAGGCGGGCAGGAGTCAGATCATGCAGGGCTTCGAGGGCTTGGGCAAGGGGTTGGAGAACCCATGAATGACTTTATTTTCTCATCTGTAAAATGGGGATGATAATAGTACCTACCTCAGTACATGTGAGCATCTGTGGTCAGTTGGGCAACAGCTGGCTGTAGGCTGGCCTGGCATGGTCTCGGTTGGGGTGATCATCCCTGCTCTACCTGGTCTCATCCTCCAGCAGGTTAGCTTGGGCTTGTTCACAAGGCAGCAGCTGGCGTCCAAAGAACAGCAGAAGCTGGCAAGGCCTCCTGAGGCTAGGCTTAGAACTGGCACAGCACCACTTCTGTTGCATTCTGTTGGTCCAAGCAGATCGTAAGGCCAGCCCACATCCCATGAGTGGTCATGAAGCTCTTAACAGAGTGCCTGGTGCAAAGGAAGTGCTCCATAAACGCCATTATTATTATTGTCGTTGATGATGTTGTTATCGCTATGCATTTGCAAAGCAGTTTATGCTTTTCAGAGCTTTATCCCATACAGTGGATACCCTACACTGTGTGAGGATAGTTGGGGCAAATGTCACTAGCCCAATTTGCCAAATGAAAAACAGAGGTTAGATTACTCAAAGCCACACACCTAGCAAGTGGCTGAAGCCAGACACTAGAATGCAGGCATCATGTAACTTAAAACACACCTGCTGAAAGTGAACCCTTTTGCAGATGATTTCATTGTCCTGAGCACCATCCTGGTAAATGAAATAATTAAGATACAAATACTCTGTGAGTGGCCCAGGCTCCTGACTGTGAGGTTTAGTTAGGGTCTCTGAGATCTAAGTCTCCTACGTAAGTTTTGGGTTTTGGTCCCCAAGTTCACTGGGGTGAATGGTGGTTTTCTTCCTTCTTATCCAGAGAGCCTCTCTTTGGACTCCAGTTGCTTTTCTTCTCCACCTGTGACTTTCCTTCAAGAATTGCCAAGCTACCGGTCTATTGCTCGTAAGAGGACGACCATCCTTTCCCAGGACAAGCAAAGTGGCACTTTGCTGAAGCCAACAGACTCTTACAGCTCCCAGTTGGAGGGAGAAATCACTGAAAACCTTGACAACCAATCCATTCGGAAATACGCACTGAACATCTCTGAGAAGCGGAGACTAAGGTTTGTCCAGCAGCCATCTGGAAGGCATATGGTGTATGTTTTGGGAAGAGGTGCTTTTTATGCATGGAATGCATTTCCTGAAGAGTTCACATAATTAAAAGTTTATTACTTAGGATAAGCTAAGCTGCTGTGACAAAGATACCCACACAGGTAAAATCTCAGTGTATTAGAAGTTCATTTCTTGCTCACATAAAAGTCCTGGGTTAAGGTCAAGGGGGAACTTTGCAGTCACTCAGGGACCCAGGCTGCTGCCATCTTGTGGCTCTGCAACCCCCTAAGCCTCATCGTTGTCTGTAGTCACTCTGTTCCCCTTCCCCCCAGCACCTGCCAACCATGAATCTACTCTCCGTCTCTATAGATTTGCCATTCTGGACATTTCATGTACATGGAATCATCCATGTGTCTGACTTCTTTCACTTAACATCATGTTTTCAAGGTTCACATAAGTTGTAGAATGTATCAGTACTTCCTTTTTGTGGCTGAATAACATTCTACTGTGTGGATAGAGCACAGTTTATTTATCCTTTGATGGAGATTTGGGTTGTTGACACATTTTGCCTATTGTGATTAATGCTGCGTTGAACATTTGTGTACAAGTTTTTGTTTGAGACCCTGTTTTCAATTCTTTTGGAGTATCTACCTACGAGTGGAATTGCCGGGTCATATGGTAATTCTGCGTTTAACTTTCTGAGGAACTGCTGAACTTCTTCCTAGTGGCCACACCATTTTCCATTCCCACCAGGGGTGCATGAGGGCTCCAGGTTTTCCACATCCTCTCGGCTGGGGTTTTATTTGGTGCTGAGGTTGATGACCCTGCCTTGTCATTGTCATGCTTGTTTCTCAATGCAGGGACATTCAGGAGACCCAAATGAAGTACTTATCTGAGTGGGACCAGTGGAAACGGTATAGCAGCAAGTCTTGGGAGAGGTTCATAGAGAAGGCTCGCGAGATGACAACCCACCTGGAGCTGTGGCGGAAGGACATTCGCAGCATAGAAGGTACACACCCCACACTGCACGTGCTCCTCCGTAGAAGTCTCCTGCGCCTGAGGAAAGGACAGCTTTGTTTTCACTCACCCCCCAGCTGAAACGTAGCATTTCCTTCCGTGATGAATGTGAGCAACTAGCCACAGTTAAGGATTAATAGAGCCTGTGTCTTCGTCACCAGGAACATCGCAGATGTCTTCCTGTTCCTTCCAGTTGTTGTAGTTGACTAGGAATAGCATCTGTGCTCATCACGACTTTGAAATTACAGCAGTGATTAGATCTGCCACTAGACCTTGTTATTTAATATGTTAATGAAAATACTCATGTATTAATCTATCACAAATTTAGTTTATACAATAATGTTTTGATCATCATACGACCATTTGTATTTTGTGCGTTTAAAAATGTTATTCCAAGATGGGGCTCAATAAGCCTCATCAGACTGCCAAAGACACCCATAGCCCTGAAAATATTAATAATCCTACTTTCCCGTAATGGTGAGAATTGGGATGAAGTACAGGCAGACCTAGGAGATATTGAGGGTTTGGTTCCAGACTACCGCAATAAAGTGAGTCACGTGAATATTTTGGTTTCCCAGTGCATATAAAAGTTGTGTTTGCACGATACCGTAGTCTATTAAGTGTGCAATAGCATTATGTCTAAAAAGTAGTGTACATAACTTAATTAAAAAGTTCTTTATTGCTAAAAAATGCTAACCATCATCTGAGCCTTCAGTGAATTGTAATCTTTTTGCTGGTGGGGGGTTTGAAGTATTGCGAGAATTACCAAAATGCGACACAGAGACAGGAAGTGAGCAAATGCTCTGCAAAAATGGTGCTGATGGACTTGCTTGATGCAGGCTTGCCACAAACCTTCAATGTATGAAAAACAAAATATCTGTAAAGCGCAATAAAGCAAAGCACAATAAAAGGTATGCCTGTCATAACAAAATCCATAGACTGGGTGACTTAAAGAATAGAAATTTATTTTCTTACAGTCCTGGAGACTGGAAGTTTGATATCCGGCCACCTTGTCACTCTGTCCTCAAATGACCTCCTCTTTGTGTGTGCTTAGGGAGAGAGAGCACGCTTTGTTGCTTATTCTTCTAAGGGGACTAACCCATCATGAGGGCCCCACTTTCCTGACCTTACCTTAGCCGTGTTACCTCCCCAAGGCCTGTTTCCAGATACCATCACACTGAGGGTTTGAGTTCCAACATATAAATTTGCAGGGGGTGGGGGGAACAATATACAATTCAGTCCACAGCAGGTATACAAAAATTGGAAGTTATGACAAAATGTAAAATCAGAAAAAAAAAATTAAACATTTGGGTGACATAACTGAGCCAGGGGGAAAATACCTTTTAGGATTACCCGGTTTCTACTAGAAAGCAAAACAATTTACAAGCTTCTCCTCAAAACTGCTGAAATGGAAATTTTGTGATGTTTGTAAGGACCATGGCAGGATATGTGAAAAAATTTATTGCCCCCATTATTACTATTTTAAAACCTATAAAGTACCAGTGGTAATCTATTCAATGAACTTTTTTAGTTGTTTTATTGGGAGAATGTAAACTTATTTCCGGGGGGGATTCATTAGAAACTTAGAACTTCAACCATCCACTTTAGAAGTTTAAGTGAACATCATCTTTGGAGCAAAAAATAATAAAAGCTAACCTTTATTGAGCCTTCACTGTGAACTGGGCATTGTGTTCAACATTTTACTCATATGATCTCCGTTGATCCTCACAAGAACCCATTTTTCACATAGGCATTTATCATGTACGTGGTTCAGAGAGATTAAAACACTTGCCCAAGTTCATTGGCTAGAACAAGGCAGACCCAGAATTTGAACCCAGGCAGTCAAGCTTCAGGACCCAAGGTTTTAGCCACCATGCCCAGATTCCTCTCTTGTTAAGTGGTGGCTTTTATGAAGATTTTCATTCATAAAGTGGCTTATGTGTTGGAAGGTAGTTTCTCCCCATGGAACTGGGCCCTTGATTTTCTCTTCAGTGACTCCAATCCTGTGATTTCTTGGCTGACTAGGTACTCATCTGACAGGAAGTGAAGGATTGATAGTTAAGCTCCTTACCTCTGTCAAGGAGAGAAGAAAAGATTGTGGGTTTCACATCTTCAGTCTCAGAATATAAGTTCTTTGCCCACACCAAGAACAAGCAGACATCCTTACTCTTTGAGTGCTTTCTGTCTGTCTTTAGTAATTTAATCATTGTTTGGTGGAAGGTTTGTTTTCTATTTGAAAAATCGATGAATGTAATTCACTGCCTTAACAGAATAAAGGAAAAAAATTATATGATTAACCCAACTGATGCAGAAAAAGCATTGGTGAAATTCAGTTCTCATTCTCAGCAAATAAGAAATCGATGGGAGCCTTCTTTTTTTTGTTGTTGTTGTTTGTTTTGTTTTTTGTTTTTTTGGCCGCACTGTGTGGCTTGTGGGATCTTAGTTCCCCAACCAGGGATTGAACCCAGGCCACCACAATGTGAAAGAGCTAAGTCCTAACCACTGGACCGCCAGGGAATTCCCAGGAGCTTTCTTAATCTGGGAAAAAATATCTATAAACATTGTATAGCACACATCATACTTAATGGTGAAATATTGAAAGCTTTTCTTCTAAGATTGAGAATGAGGAAAAGACTTCTAATTATCACAGATTCTATTCAGCATTGTCCTGGAAGTCCTAGCCAATGTACAATGATGGGAAAAAAAGGGTCAATGACCAGAAAGGAAGACATAAGTTGTCTCTTTTTTTTTGCAGATGACATGATTTATTTGTAGAAAACAAAAAAGACAAACTATTAGAATTGAGGTAACTTTGGCAAGGTTGCTAGATATAAGATCTATATATATAACCAACTGTATTTCTATATACCAGCAACAAACATTTAAAAAATAAGTTATACTGTAGTATCATTGCACCTAGGAATACATCTAAAGAACTATGTGAAATAATTCTGCACAGAAAACTATAAAATATTGTTGAGAGAAATTAAAGAACCTAAATATACCATGTTCACGGATCAGAGACTCAATATTGTAAAGATGTCACTTGTTCTCAAACTGACCTATATATTCCATGTAATCCCAGTCCAAATCTCAGCACATTTTGCACATGCATGCATGTGTGTATGTGTGAAAATGAATATGCTGATTCTAAAATTTATATAGAAATGCAGAGGACCAAGGGTGCCTGAGGAAGAAGAAAGCCTAAAGACTTAGAGCACCATATATCAAGTATTATTGTATCTGCAATAATGAGACAGTTCTGGTATTGGTGCAAAGATAGACAAATAGACCCATAGAACAGAAGAGGGAATTCAGAAACAGGTCCATAAATATATAGTCAATTACAAACGCACTATTGCAATTAACTAGGGAAAGGATAGCCTTTTCAATAAATGGTGCTGAGTCCATTAGATATTCCTATGAGAAAATATTGAGTCCTCTCTCACACCATCTCAAATAATTGATTTAAGAGTGATTGTAGATTTACATGTGAAAGTTTAAACTTAATAATTTCAAGTAGAGCCTTGAAATTATTCTTCCTCCCTCCCCCACTAAGAGCCTCCAATTTCAGTTCAGCCCTCTGTGGCTGATTGAACCTACAGTGGGTACTGTATCAATACTCCTGGTCAGTGATGTCTGGATTTCTTTTTTCCAGGGAAATTCGGCACTGGAATTCAGTCCTACTTCTCCTTCTTACGGTTTCTGGTATTGCTGAATTTGGTGATATTTCTGATCATCTTTATGCTGGTTTTGCTCCCAGTCTTGCTCACCAGATACAAGATCACCAACAGCAGCTTTGTGCTCATTCCATCCAAAGGCGCGGGTGAGTGTAAGGCCTGATTTGCCATAAGGAGTGTTCTTTTCATTGTGTACCTAGCTACAATGCTTCTTTCTCTAGCAATCTTTATAATCTAAGTCTTGGGTGACTGTATTAGTCAGGATAGGCTAGGTTATGCTGCAGAAACAAATGACCCCATAACTCAGCACCCAGTAACCACAAACGTTTCTTTCTTGCTCACACTGTATGTCCATCAGTGTTTGGTGGTGGCTTTGTTCCATGTTGTCTTCACTCTGGAGCCCAAGCTGAGGGAGCAGCCTCTCTCTGCACTATTGATAGTCACAATGTCCAAAGGAAAAAGAGCCATGGCAAACACGTGCTGGCTTCTAATGCTTCTGCCTGGAGATGACGCACATCCTTTTCGCCACACCTTACTAGCCAGTGCAAGTCACTCGCCACTCCTGGGTTCAGCAAGGCGTTTGGGAGGAGCAATGGGGGGTGGGGAAGTGGACTATTTAGTAAACATAATACGGTCGACTCCAGTGACTTCATTTCAAGCTTTTATTTCAAGGCTTTTATCTCCGATAATGGTGTTGCTCAGGCTGCCATTTATTAAACATCAGTCATCTGCCAGACGCTATGGCAGGTAATGGACCTGTGTTTTCTTACTGAATTCTCAGTGTAAGTCAGGTCTGGGCATCCTGTTTTTTCAAATGGGGATAATTTCTGTCATTCCAGAGATGTTTATTTACCACCGTCTAGTACTAGGCTCTGTGCTAGGAGCTGGAAGTGGAAACCTCCTGCTTCTATCACATGACTCCTCTCCCCAGAAGAATGCCCCGTCTGCAGTCACTTCTGTGGCTCTAAACATTCCTCCTCATCATATTTGTTTTTGTTTTAATTCTATTACACTTAAAAATCAAATAAGAATAACGTGGAAACGCTGACTTTTTGAGTGCCTACTGCCTGCCCGATGCTGCATTCTCATTTCTAATATGTCCATGTCACAGATAAATATCTCCTGCTGCTGTGTGAAAACCCCTGGGTTCGGTTTCAAGGCCCAGCTCTGTTAGTTGATTAGATTTTGTGAGCCTCATTTTCCTTATCCGTAGAATGAAGGTGATGATTTAACTAGTGAGACAATTGTTTCATTATTCAAATAATGTTGTACTACACTATTTAATACTTAGCTCATTAAAAGATAATAAATACTTATTATTTAAAGTACAAATAATTGAAAACAATAATATAAATTCTATATTATTTAATACAGAAAACTTAAGTAATGATTAAGCAATACTCATAATTTTTAAATGAATATTAACTAAGATAATACAGTGCTTTGCCCATGGAAAGTGCTCAATAAATGCAGCTTTTTTTTTTTTTTTTTTAGTATTATTTCTTTCTAGAAGAACTGAATGCTATTCTGTCTCACTAGACACCACTGCCTGTTCAGTTCTCCCTTTAGCCGTGAGCAGGGCCTTGGGCGGAGGGAGGCCACGCTCTTGGAGGAAATGAAGCTGGACTCTGAGCGTGGACACCACGCATCTCTTCTTTTTCCTCATTATTTCCTCTGACTGCATCGTCCTCCTGCACATGCTTTTTTTTTCGACTTACCTAGTAAACTTTGTCCCTTAAGATAAGGGTCAGAAGTCCCTTTCTTCCTCTTCTCACTTCCCTTCTCCGTTCCTTCAACAAGTGTTTATTGAGCACCTGCTGTGTGCTGGGCCCTGAGCCAGGCCCTGGGGCTACAGCAGGGACCGCCACAGGGTACTGCACTATAGCAGAGGATGGACGTTAGGAAGGGACCACACGAAGAGGTATATAAGCTATGAATTTGCCTCTGGGGGAGGGGAAAGGATAAGGTGCTGAGAGGTCAGACACCAGGACACTGGAGGCTGAGGGGTGCCCCAAGCCCTCTGTGAAGGCAGGGATATGTCAGGTGAGCCCAGGAGGACAAGGAGAAGGCAGCTGTTGGAGAGCTCGGGGAAGCTTCTTCATGCAGAGGAACAGCATCTGCAAAGGTTCAGAGCTGGGAATAACTCAGCATATTAGAGAAATGAAAAGCCAGGTGTGGCTGGTGGACACGTTCCTGGAAAGGGCCAGATAGTCAATATTTTAGGCTTGGCTGGCCATATGGTCTCTGTTGCAACTATTCAGTACTGCCGTTGTGGCACAAAAGTGACCACGGAGAAATGTCCCAAATGGGCATAGCTGTGTTCCGATAACACGGTATTAACAAAAAAAGGCAGCTGGCCAGATTTGGCACAAGGACCATAGTTTGCCGACCTCTAGGCTTGAGGACAGTGAGTGAGGAGCAGAGTGGCAGCTGTCTCTTTCCATCTTCCTGACTCTGCTCCAAATAGTGACTGTCTCCCTCCTCTTTGCCTCTAATACTGTGTTCATACAACCATTTGAGCACCTTATATACACCTAACTTCTACTTATCCTTTCTACCACTTGATGGTGAGCTTTTCAAAGGCAGGAACTATTTCTTACTCATCATTTTATCTCCAGCATGTACCTAGTGCATAGTAATTAAGAAGTGTTTGTTGAATGAATAAGTGAACACACATGTTAGGATTATAAAATGGCAGAGCTGGAATTGGCCTTGGAGGAACTGGTTCAACTCTCTTATTTTAACAAAGGGGAAACTAAGGTCCAGAGAAGGGGTAGTACATTGGATTATTTTCCCCAGTTTGTCACTCCCCTGTAATTGTAACTTTGCAAAGCTTCCCACTGTGAGCAGAGAATACTTTCTGCCCCCATTGATATTGCTCTTGGCCATGTGACTTCTTTTGTCTAGTGGAGTATTAGTTTGAAACGGCTTTATGTGGTTGGCCTGCCTTATGAGAAGAGCCATGAGGAGAGCATCCCCCCCAGGTAGCCACTGCCTCTCCAGTCTGGTCCCAGAGAGAAATCATGTAGAGCAGACCTCAGCCCAACTGGGAGCCTGGTGTCCATCCTGGCTTAGCCTGAATCAGCTGAGTGAACTCAAACTGTAGATCCATGAAGGAGAAAATAAATGTTTGGAGGTTAAATAATTTGAGACTTTAAGGTTGTTACACAGAAATAGCTGACTGATACAGAGGAAGTGAATTAGTTGTTCTAGCATAATGTAGTGTCACTAAAATTGCTGTTCAAAAATTTTCTTGGTCAATTATATGCAGGTAAACATATGTTTTTTTTTTAAGTGAAACTGCTTGTTAATTTACACACATGTAGAGATCTTTTAAAACTGGATTGCTTAAAATGGAATAATAATTATATCGACCACATCTTCCAAAACATGTGCAAACATGAACCCCAAAACGTAAAATACTAATACAATCAGAAAGCCTGTGCTGTTATTAGACCCATATACGAAACATATAGAAAAAACATATATCCCAGGTATTTAGAGAATAGTGAAAGGGGAAAATGGTACTGTACTTGGTGCACTGGCGTTTAGATTGCAAATAGAAAATCACAGATTCACAAACATATCCATATATAATTGTATATGACATCTAAATGTATATACATATACAAGCATATATACACAAATTATGATAGACAAGTTATAGAGACTGAAGCTATTTCTACTGACGTTCTTGTTTTTGTTTTTTTACAGATATTCAATGCACAATGTATCCAATAAGTAGTTCTGGACTCATTTACTTTTACAGTTATATCATAGACTTGCTTTCTGGCACTGTAAGTATTTAACATAATTCTGGATTTGGACCCTCAATACTGAAATAGGTTAATTTAAAGACCAGGTTCCTGAATGTCTGCAGTGAGAATCAAACACGAGTGTTGACACAGGTACCAGTGAAAGAAAACAGGATTTGCAGTGACCTTATCGGCAAGGATAATGTTCATCCGCCCCTGCTAAGATGTACAGGAAATGTATTTTGTCACTTTCAGCCCTTGGCCTTTTCCTGATTCCTGCCACCTTTGTATTGACCTGCAACAAGATCTGAGTTCCCCTGTAGAAAGAAGTTTCCGTGAAAATAAACCCAGATAGAATTTATTTAACTTCTCTGACATTGAAAGACCTTAACATATTGTAATCCTAGACCACCTGGATGAAAGCTGTGACTCCTCTTCCCAGCAATTACACACACAGGTGTGCGTGGTACACACGTGCATACATGCCCTTACATGTGCACATGCACACACCGCACTTGTGCACACACATACGCAGTCCCTGAAATCCCTTAAAAGTCTATTAATCCCAGGTTAACCCTGCTGCTCTAAAGTAGAATTAATCTCATCCTTCCTATAGTAGTTCCAAACGTTTTAAATTCTTCTTTATTCTAAAAAATGTTTTTGTGTGTGTGCTTTCATTTTTTTAATCCCACTTTTTTTCAGCAAATAAGATTGCAGCTATGAAAAGTGGTGTCTCTGCCTTCTAGACTAGGGTTTCTCAACCTTGGACCCGACACTCCTTTGCTGTGGGCCTGTCCTGTCCACTGGAGGGTGTTTACAGCATCCCTGGCCTCCATCCACTAGATGCTGGTAGCAGCCCCACTGCTGTGACAAGCAAACATGTCTCCAGACATGCCAGATGTTTCCTGGGGAACAAAATTATCCCAGGTTGAGAACCCCTCCTTTAGATGTTTTAAAAAATACAAGTATATAAAAATACCTTTCTGAAAGTTACTGGTATTAAAATGCCATGCTATTGAACATTTCTGAATCGATCGATAGAAAGCATCGAATTTGTCCACTGCATTTGGTTTTGAAAAAGTGGATTTTACATCTCTGATCTCATGTTTTCCTCAGAACAACTGAGAGGAATCGTCAGGTGGGTGTTAAAATGTCCACTATACAAATGAGAAAACTGAAGCTTGCAAACTATGCAAGGAGAAAAGAAAGCCAGTGACTCACCCAAGGTCACATGCTAGTGAGATCAAATCCCAGAACTGCTGTTAGCCCCATTTCTTTAGGTCACATCCCATGAGAGAAGTTCCTTGCTGTAGGTCACCACACACCATGATCTTCTTCGTTATAGGAAAGATTTCACAGGAGACTTAGATGCACTTGATCATAAATGTTCAATAAACTATGCATGATAAAAAACAGCCCTGCCCCAAAGAATGAATTTTCTACAGTGATAAAAATGTTCTGGATCTGTACTGTGAAATTCGACAGCCACTAACTCTTAAGCACTTGAAATGTGGCTAATGTGACCAAGAAACTGAATTTTAATTAAATTTTATTGTTGTTAATTTCAATTTATTTGTTTTCAATATGTGTTTTTAAAACCATTCTACATGCATTACAGAATGGCCATCATGTACATTCCCTGTAATATCACTGTTCTCACCCATGCAAGCAAGTAGCAGCCTTACACATATTTTTCATGTGTTTTTAAACACTTCTGTTCATGTTTATAGAATGAACAAAACAGCCACTTGCTGAACAGGGTTTTCTATGTAGCAAGCAAATACCACTTCAGCATATGTCTTACAAGTGTTTTTAAACATTTCTATATGTATTACAAAATGACTGTCACATCCATTCATGGAAATAGCAGGGTTCTGTTCTCCATGTGGGTTGCAAGTCTGTAGCAGTCTTACAACTTCTCTCTCACGCTGAATTTTAAAAACTTTTCTACACACATTACAGAATCGACATCCCATGCATTGACTAAAATAAAAGTATTCTGAACATATTGAGCAAGTAGCACTTTTACAACCATCTTTTTTCCTGTTTTTTTAAAATCTTCACTAATGCATTACAGTATGCGTATCACATTTATGCACTGAAAAACAGTCCTCAACATAGCAAGTAATTAGCATTCTTACATCTTTTACATGTGTGTTTTTTTATTAAATTGAGATGTGATTGACATATAACACTGTATACATTTGAGGATGTACATGTTGGTTTGATACCTTTATATATTGTAATATGATTACTATAGTAGTTTTAGCTAATAACCTTTATCATGTCACATATAAATTTTAATGATAGGCCCAAGAGGGAGCTGGCCAGAGAGATTAAGCAGTGGCTTGTCTTTGCTGAAAACAATTGAGGCAAGCTCATGATCGTATCAGAGAAATTATTTTCCAGGCCCAGTGGACCTTTGTCCTGTAATGTAACTTTATTTTGTAGGAGAGATTGATGACAGTCCTGACACCAACCTGGGGCAATAAAAACATGTTTTGTACAGTTGGGCAAGTTTTATGGCCTGTGTGCCCCAGCTTCAGGAGGGTTAAAGAAAAGATGGAGTCTTCTGTTTCTACATGTTTGTTTTTCTATTAAAAATTTACTTAAGTACTCAGTATAAGAATACAGGGTGGCTTCCCTGGTGGCGCAGTGGTTGGGAGTCCGCCTGCTGACGCAGGGGACACGGGTTCGTGTCCCAGTCCGGGAAGATCCCACATGCCGCGGAGCGGCTGGGCCCGTGAGCCATGGCCGCTGAGCCTGCGCGTCCGGAGCCTGTGCTCTGCAACGGAAGAGGTCACAACAGTGAGAGGCCCGCGTACAGCAAAAAAAAAAA